CTATCTTCAGACATATTCTATATTCTGGATTACAGTCACAGATAATAGACTCTTCAGAAAAAACTGTTTGTAACTCACAAAATACTTTTCTAATAGTAAATATCAGAAGAAATAGTTTTCTCTTTCATCTATTTTTACTGTTTTTCAAGAAATCTATCAACAGTATCACAACAACTGAGTACTTTTGTATAAATCTTCTATAAAAGTTTGCAAAACTTAGAAATATCTAAATATTATAAAAACTTTATAATAAGAGCTACTTTATAATTATCTGTATCTGCTTTAGGTCTATCTTAATATCTTCATTATTAATGATATATTTAAGATATGAGATTATTTATTTTTTTAAAAACATACTTAGTAAGCTTTGTAAATAATTGATATTCTCTTAGATACTTCATAACTAATCTAACATATTTCTTATGCTCTTTCTCTGAGACAGAGAAGATAAGAATATTATCTAGATAAACTACACAGCATATCATATTAATCAGACCTGCCAATGCCTTATTTATATAGAACTGGAAGATTACTGGTGCATTTAATAACTTAAAAGATATAATAAAATACTCAAAACTTCTAAACTTTATACAAAATATAATCTTTCATTTCTTCTCTTCTCTGATTCTAATTTAGTGATAGATATTATATAAATTTACTTTAGAAAAGTAGTATACTTCTGCTAGCTGGCTTAGTATTTTATTTATCAACAACAGAGAGTAATAGTTCTTTATTATAATTATATTAAGACTATAATAATTAATACAAAGCCTGAGTTCTTTATTAATCTTAAGTGCAAACAATACTGAAGTCTCTGCCAGACTTTATAATAAATATACTTAATTCTTGCATAGTTTGTTCTTGATATACTCTTGTAGAATCTCTGTTTGCTTGAGCAATAGTTTATATATTAGTATATAAGAGAACTTACAGCTGTCTTTAAGAATAATTAGATAACTAATCTTTATTAATTTCAGTAATTCTGCTGTTTTTTTCTCTGAAAAAATATTTTTATAGTCTCTCAGTCACTCAGATACTTCTGTCAGAACTTGATTATTATCTAATACAAAAATAATATAAAAGAGTTTATTCTTGATATATATTACTCAGAGAAATTTGTCTATATTTAGAAGTTTAACTGATTTCTTCAAGACTTAGTAATATTATATCTTGTTCTTCTAGTCTATATTTAGATTAAAGTCTTTCAATTACAGTATGTCTAGAATTATATTTATATTAATTATATTAATCACTACAAATATTTATTTTATCACTTTTGTAATTTCTATAAAGTTTATTATAGTAAGTTGAGTCTTATAAATACTATATTAGTCAGTCTCAGCTTTATTTAACATCTCAATAACTTTTATAAGTATCTTTGGTTAATCTTAATTCAATTGGAACACCAGTTTATAGAAAATACTGTTTACTGTAATATCTAAGTTCAATAATACAGCTTGTTTTATAAAATTATTCAACAGTATAATCAGTATGATTGACAGATATATACTACATCTGCTTATCTTCTTTAGTAAATTAATACTCTTATCTTTCTGATGTTTAATCTAGATCTTGTATGAATTTTGCTGTTCTGATCTTTATCTAGTTCTTATTCTATATATCTGTTTACTAAAACTTGTTAAAGATATTTATACAGAACTTTACTCTGTAATTTGATTAACTATATCTTAGACAGAGCTCTTTATTTATTTATTATTTGTGTTTCTCTTTAGATAACTTCAGAAGTAGTTTTACAGATATCTTCTTTATTTATAAGAGACTTCCTTTATTATCTTGTTAAGATACACTCTTTTCTTAAGAGATTAAGATTCTTTATTTCTTCTTATTTTAATCTTTATTCTAGAGACTTTGTTTCTTCTTTTCTGAGATTAATTTAAGAAGAGTTGCTTACTCTCTTAGTTCTGCAACTATGTTTAATTAATATTGCAGTTTATCAAGCTTAAGTCAGATATTTAATCTAAGTTTTATTTATAAAAAAAGTATGTGAAAGAATTTATTCAGTAAATTGTTTAGATCTTGTTCCAGCTCAGTAATAATGTAATCCACAAGCGAGCAAAATCCACAAGCGAGCGAAAGATTAAATTAAGGCATCCCAACTAACTAGAATTTAACCCAAAATATCTACACTCAACAACCCCTAAATAGATTAAATTACATTGCAATAGGACTGCAGCAGCTTCTTCTTGTATAGCTTAAAATATGACAGTTTGTACATCTTGGTGGTGCCCACAAACATGATGCAAGCTCTGAGGCTGTAGACTCAGAGAGTTAAGCAACTGACTGTTCAACAGGTTGAGCAGGTAGAATGGCAAGCTCAGCAATCTCTTCTCTAGTTAGACCTTCTTCATATTGAATTTGGCACTTAGATCTTGTACATTTTTACTTCTCTTTCTCATTTACAGCAAATATATCCTGATATTGCTTTTTCATAATAATGGTATTGACTATTCTATATTTGCAGGCCTTGATAATTTGGTCAAATTCTTCTATTAAGCTCTGGAGTGAGCTCTCAAGCCTCTGCTCCATAAGATTCCTGATCTTATCTGCCTGCCTATGCAATTACTGGAGATTGTGAGATATTTGTAAAATTCAGAATGACACTGGGTTGCTAGATTGGCTAGCTGGAGAAGTAGGGGTTTGAAGTTAAATATCCAGCTGCTGAAAAATCTGATCTGGGTCAAATAAGACTATTCCAGTAGCCATGAAGCCACTTTGAATGTTCTGAGTCTTGAAGACCTCCATACATGCTGTAGAATAGGCATCCAGAAAATTCATCTTCTTAATAGTGTTGATTCTAAGCCATATTTACTGTTCAACTAGACTGTTATATGCCTGCTTCAAAACTGCAAAAACACTTACATTAAGAGGCTGTAAGAGATGTGATGAATGTGCTGGCATGCACAGAGAAATAATCTTATTCTTTTTGCAGATATAATTAAATTCTGAAGTAAGATGACTGCTGTACTCATTCAGAATAAGAAGTATATGAGTATCAATCCTCCATGGATTTGCAGCAGGAATAAATAGTCTAGTCAGCCATTTAATTTCTATCTTATCTGTAATCCAGTTATTAGAACTAACATCAAGTCTCTAGCCAGCTGGAAGCCCATCAAAGCAGCTTTTCTGTAGATTTTATCTCTTAAAAATGATGTACAGGAGCAAGATCCAGCCTGAGATATTAACTGATTCAATTACTGTGACCCATTCTCAATTTCCAGGCTGTAGAAGCTTTGCTCAGCCATAGTGCTCAGCACTAGTAATAATCTTGATAGTTATGCAGAGGTTCATTGCAAATCCAGTCTCATTAAAATTGTAGATATCTTCTATTGAGATTCCATGCTCAGTAATTATATTCTTCAGAGTTTTAAATCAAGCCTGAATAATCTTTCTATTCTCATATTTTGCTTGCTTGTGATTATAGCATCTGGAATAGTAGTATTTAAGCTCTGTACAGCATTTAATCAGATTTAACATCCAGTTCTGGCCAACATGGGAGGGGGAAGAGGTAGAATCTTGCATGGCAAGAAGATGGTTGGCTATATTCTCAATAAATGCCAGTCAGAGGGGGATTCCTTGTTTAGCTAGGTTTAGAATTCATTGAACTAGCTGATTCTCTTCAGACTCAGTCAATTTGGTTGAATTTGCATGTAGACTGATTCATGCACATCTTTCTTTTATTCAATGATATAAGATAGTATAAGGCACATTAAATAGCCATGCAGCTTTAGCAATTGAGCTAATTTCTTGCTTTTTAAGTGTAGAAATAGCAAGTTCAATCCTGCCCTCTATTTCTATAAAGGATCTTGCATTTTTATTGTGAATTAGTGGCATTCTGACGCGTTGAAGTAGATGGTTGAAGAAGTTGAAAAAATAACTTTTGCTTGCTTGTAGATTTCGCTCGCTTGTGGATTATGTTATACATAAAAAATAAGAGTACAGATTAATTTTTCTGCTAAATAATATTATAATATTACTGTATTATATCTTAACTGCAAGTTATCTTGAGTTTAATATTATTCTTACATCATATTTTAAACTTACTTTATAATATAGATAATTATTCTTTTTTTATTTTCAACATCTGTTGGTATATCTGAAATTTATTACAAAAATAACTAAATATTTAGTTAATTCTGACAGTATCTGTTACTTTATATAGTGATTTTCTCAGACAAAAGTGCTGTTTTATTAAGACTAATTATATTTTATACTTACTAAGTAATTTACTAATAATAAAATACTTTTAAAGATTTTACATTCTTAAAATTATCTAATTTCTCTGTTGATTATATCTGCAAGAGAAATTTTAAAGAAAAATTATTATTTATCAATCTTTATTTGTATTTAATTTGTTTTTGCAGTCTACATATTTTATTTTATTTATATATGTCTGCTAGATTCTTTTATAGACATGTCTTCTTTTCTTTAAAAGTTTCTTCTCTTCTAGTTTCATTTAATATATTCAAGAATACATCTTCATTCTTTGTATTATTAGCTGATATTTTACTGATGATCACTTCACTATTTTTAACATTTTTATTATTGTTCATCTTCTTTATATTAATATTTATTTTTATTAAGTCTGCAATATGAGATGTTGTTACAGTTTATCTTATAGATCTTATCAGCATTATACCAATTTTGATAATTATATATCAGAAAGTGTTCAGAATGTTAAAGAAGCTTAATATAGATCTTATGAATTATCTTTAGATTTAAGATACAAAAGAGCTAAGTAGGTTCAATGCCTACAACTGATGAGAGGAAGTTATATGTAGAATATATAGGTCTGCTAACTAGAAGACTGAATACTGAGATTTCCACAATCCATGCAAATCATGTGATCCTTATATGTTCAGAGTTGGTGGTCACATGAGTTCCCCTGAACATCCAATGTCATCTGATGCTGGGCTGGCCTATGTTTGGTGCTTGGTTGGTCTACATTCATAACGATCTATCAAATCAGCTAGATTTTCAGACCAAGATGCATTCCATTTTTCTTTGATTCTTTCAGTTTTTAAAGAAGGTAATGTTGTTAAAATAATTGAGCAAATTCTGAATAGTTGACTTGGATTATTGAAATTATAGTTGTTGGGTAGTGAGAAATGTTAATTACTAGTCTTGGTAAAGACCCCTGGGAGACTGTAGTAGTGGGGACAGGGCTGCAACTTTGTATATTGCTATCCTGTTACTCCACCTTTTCCTTCCTTTTCAAAGGCTTGAGTAATTCTTTCTGTCTTAGAAATCTATCCATTTTTATCATCTCTACTGACCTGCTTTCTTTCCTAAGTTGGTGCACTCTTTCTTTTGTCCTCTCTTTAAATGCCTTGCGGCTTGGCTATGAAACAAAGTCACTTTGGAGCTCTTTTGTACTAACATCATACATGGTCTAAAAGTGACACGCTCCCGAAAACTTCAAGCAGGTGAAGAGCACCTGCCTCGTTACTTTGCAAAAAATGGGTTTGTTGATGCCGACCCAAAGAAGACAAAGAAAGATGGTGGTGGCAAGGCCAATTGGTGAGAAATCTTGTGTAGCATTAGAATTCTACTGTTGCTGATACTAGTGAAGGGGTCGGTCTGGAGAGGAGGTGCATGATTATGGCTATACATTTGCAAATGCTCGGCGTCGCTCAAACAGCAGCAACCAAGCACTTGAAGATTTTAAAACTAAATTTGAAGCTATCGAACACGATCCCGTCTTCGAAGAAGACATTCATGGACCAGAGCAAACAGATATGGAAACCTGTGAGTTGAAGGATCAAAATTCGGGACAATGTGTCAGTATTGTGGGCAGGTTGCACTCGGATACCGAGAAGCGAAAGGGGCCATAGATTCATTATCCTAGCCTGATCCGTTGAGATTTGCTGAGGACTGTTTACTGAAATTCCCAAGCCATGTAATGTTCTAATGGCGCAAGCTAGAGGGTCTCAAGCAGGGTTCGTAGCTGCATATTTCATGCAAGCTAAGGAGTAGCTGAAAGAGAAATGTCTTTGACTGATCCCCTAAATTTCTCATTGCTAGCCTGCAAAATCTAGACTCCCAAATATTAGTTTCTACTTCACGACCAGGAACAGGGAACACAAATGTTGCAGCTTCCACAGGAGCCCAATGTATGCATTTGCTTTAACTCTCCATATGGCTTGGTAAATCCCGCGACTTTGTAAACATTGCAATTTCGAAAAGAACTGTGTACTAATAAAGTGCTCCAATGCTTCAGCAAGCTCCACCAGCGTGCTTGCTCTTAAAGTAGCCTGCTGGATCGTAGCTGAAACAATAACTGACTGGACAGTCTATAATTTTCTGAAAAAATAGATGTATGCGAATTGCTTCATCTCCTCAATATCACCACCTTGAACAACCTTTTCATCATTGAAAAGAACCCATTGGTTGTCTTCATCCTGGGCAACTTCTTTTCGGACAAATGCAACATAGTGACTAGGATATGTCAGATCAGTACTTTCGGAAGAATATGCGCTTACTTACCCAGCATGAACTGAGACGCCTTTGTGGCAGATGATGGCGTGTAATTGAAAGAGAGCAGGTATATCACTAGATCCTTGCAACTGCGCTGGGGATCCACTGCTTACTTGATATCCCTCGATCTCCGCGTCATACGGATGACTTAAAACCCAATCCAACGCCCTGTTGATATCTCCATCCGTTTCAAGGAGCGCTTTCCGAGCTTTCGGACGATCAATGCCCATGTCAATTAGTTGACCAATCTTTGCTTCGTCTTCATTTGAACAGTGATTCCCACCGCTACCTGGTGGTGCGGAAATGTCCGTCGTATCGATATCCGGATCATCCATATGTGAAAGCAACCAATTCAATGCGGCATCCGTATCCGTGTTTCCTGTGGCATAGAGTGCCTTTTTGATCCGAATCTCAGGAAACCCCATACTGAGAAGCATGGCAACCGCTTCTTCATTGGGTTGAAACTCGATATCTGGGGGTGAGGGCTCATCTTCTAATAAAATTTCGCCTGCCTGAATGCCAAGCGAGCGATATTGGCTGAGATCCAAGGGTTCGTCACTCACTTCGACGGGGATATTAAGTTTAGTTGGCACCCAGTTGATCAGTTCAAACCGTCTGGCGTTAATAATCAAGTTTTGCGGAAATGTCTTGAAGAGCGATCGCTTTCGGAAGCCCTTCTTGCTTTCGCACCCAGAACACGTTAACTCAACAATTTCTTCTGCAGTAAAAATATCGAGGCATTCCCTGAGAGAGACACGGTCGAATTTCGAAGACACCGGTGTTTCTCCGCTTGCGCAACTCTCAGCATCATTGTCTTCTTTCAAGCGACGAATTGGGACAGGAACAGAAATATTATCCTGTTCGTCAATTTTATATCGCACCTTTCCACATGATAGGCATTGTAACCGCTGCTCCAAATTAAAACGAAAAGATGCAACTGGATTGGGAGTGTCATAATGTTTATTGACATTTATAAGTTTAAAAAGGTGCAGAAGAAATTCAAACGCATCTTGCTGGCGCATTGTCGAAAATTCATCATGACCGCGACCAATTAAATGTTTTAGCATTCCTGGAGCTAGCCCCAACTGATAAGGTAGGTCTTGACAGCCCGTGTGGGCCACCGTATCGGAGTTTGGGACAGAGTAACGGCCTGAAATAAGCCCATCGGCTATTTTCCTTAGTTGAGTTTCGAGATCCTCCGCCGGTAAAGGTACTACTGGAGGAAGCTCTTGTGGTTTAAAATATCGGTATTCAAACTCCGGTAGGGAGAACAAGCACTGGAGAGCACTGGCAAGGTAGCAACTGTTGCCGAGGTTTCGCAAGCCGGTGAGTCCTGGCCCAAAGATAGGCTTTAGGTCCATCCCATCGCTTGAAGTCATTGTAAACTCCCATTTAAGGTTTTGCTCAATCTGCATTTCCGTGAGACTTTTCTCGGTTTTTTTCTGCTCAGTGATCATAATTCCCCAGTGTGCTAGGTGCAAAGCTAGATCCGGGTCAATTCGTTCCTCATTGCAGGCATAACAGAATACATCAGCAGACCCCTCAGGAGAGATCGAATTTAGCTTGACCGAGACAGAATGTGTCAAATTAGAAGCATGTGCAAGTGCATGGGAATTGCCTCCCATGCCCCCAAACTGACTGCGACCACAGCCAACATTGCCACATTGTAAGCATAACCAAAGATTTTCTTGCATGGAACACTGAGAACAATGAGAAAATTCTGCAGAATATTCAGAATAACTTCCCGAATAAAAGCCACATGGGAATCGTTAAACATACTGTTAAGTTGCATTAAACTAGCATCATCCTGGGTGAGACACAGGATATGTTCACATGATGTAAGTTCAAGCTCCCATGCCTTTACTTCTTCCTTGCGAGAGAATGTGAGGGTGTTCATGACACCATCTATCACATCCTGCAACACTGGGATAGAAGAGATATCAACATCATCATTGTCGCAATCATAACATATTACTTTGATAGTGGTGTTATAATGATCTTCTTCTCTTAAGGGCTTGATCGCTAATTTCGACATTTTAGGGGGAGGTTCATCACGCTATAGCGCGCAAGGAGTTAGCCAAAGCCAGATTAACAAAATCTGTAAACAGTGTACAAAGATATCAAGTATGGCCAGACCTGTATTGGCTTGCGCGTTCTCCTAATGTTTAGGGCCAATGGGTGCTCACAGCGAGCATGGTGAAGGGCAGCATGATCTCTGTTCCCCGTACAACCTCCATTAAAGCAGCTGAGGCAGACATTCAGCCCAGATGGATCGTCCTGTAGTCCTTGTTAATAATGCATCAGGGCGACCATATGTGGTCCATGCGTACTATAGAGTCAAAACATTGGGTGCAATCTTCCCGATATACAGATTGGCTGTTTCTGGGAGGTTGCAGCCCTGCCGAATCCACATGCGGGCACACCATGCTTTTGCTAGAAGTTAACAAAGCCTTGAGATATAGCAAGAGAATGAAATGGGATGACTATTATGATCCCAACTGCAGTAAAAAAGCTAAACCACAAGGGCTGAGGTATGAGGGGGTTGTTAGAAGCCACGAGCGGAGCACAAAGTCAGGTTGTCATTGATTAATATGTAGGTAATTATGAAGGTATGAAGTATGGTGTAGTGTCCCAGAAGTCTTTACCCACACTAGTAACAAACTAGTGGTTAGCGGGGTGGCAGGTTCCGGCAGGTTACTACCCAGGCGCGCCATGTAATGCATTTGATTATTTGATTGATTGATTGATTGATTATGTCATCCACTGTCCCAGCTGCTTTGTCAGCAGCTATGCGGGCCTGACCTCACATGATTGTCAGCTCAGTCACATGTTCTAGATACAAAAGAAACAAACATAATAGCAAATAAACTAAACAAATACAATAATACAGATACAGATTTTTTATCCCAATCTCCATAACATCAAAAAGGAGTGTGTCAAAGAGCAAGAAATGAAATATAAATAAAAATACAGATAAATCTCTGATACTATTATAGCTGGTGTATTTTGAATACTATACATCTCTGCTGCTATATCTATTTATTCTGTATTACTCTTCAGAAGAACTTATTACTTTACTAACTCTGTATTAATATACTGAAATTACTCAAGTAATTTAATCTTTATTATACATTTAGCTGCTTTAATACTGAAGCTTTATTATAAGAGTATTATTCTTAGATTTGTTGTTCTTCTCTTCTCTTTTTACAGAATATTCTCTTTAAGCTGATAGTATATTAATGTAAGAATTCACCTGCAAAACTCTTATACAGATGAACAACACCTGCAAGAGCTAAGAGTCTTGACTTGCAAGCTGTTGACAGTTGCATGTGTTCTCATAAAAATATTAAGTTACATGCTTGTAAGCACATATAAAAGACTACCACTACACAAATCTCTTGCTAAGAGCTAGTAGCAATCTTGTTTACAAGTTATATATAGTTGCTAGAATATAAAAATCTTTTATTTCATATACTCTTTTCTACATACATCTTTCTTAGAGATTCATTGGCACATTAATTCATATGTATAATTCTCATATTTTGCTACTCTTCTTTAATGACATTTAATAATAGTATTTATACAAAGAAGCTAATCTTTTAAAACTTGTAAATCTGAAACACCAGCTGAAAATCTACTTAGAGAACAAATTCAAGTTTGTAAAGAAATAACAAATATGAAAACTATCTTAGCTCTCTTAACTATCAATAAAATTAAAAATAGTATTATAATCTCAGAAAAAAAGTTTACTTTAACATCAAAAACAAAATTTAACAACTTTACAAGAAAAACTAACTACTAGAAAATATTATAAAATAGCAAGAAAAGTTAAATAATACTTTTCAAATTACTTAAAAGTACTTGTAAAGTAAATTTCTTAATATAATTATTTTTAATTCAATATCTGTAAAGTATCTGCTAATTTTAAGATTATCTCAACACCTAAAACTCTACCAGACTAATATCTATATAGAATATTAACAGTTTATCTTTAATATTAAATTTATTTATAACACAAGCAAATTAAATAATAAGAAATCTCTTATATATACTTCTACACAACTTAACTATATTAAGAAAGATCTTTAAAAGATTTACTGTAAAGATAATTTATTAAAAAATAACTGAACTAATCTTAAGAAAATTTTATATATAAGACAAGAAGATTCAGTAAATTATTACAAAGCTCTTAATAAGTACATTTTAATATTTGCAAAGGTTTAAATAAAACTGATTATATTTATTACTAATAATTTCTAGAGCTTATAACAGAAATTAATAAAGAATTTAAAGATTTTACAAAAATAAAGAAGAATCTATTTATACAGAGCTTGAATAAGCTTATGTAAATCAAATTAGCCAAGCAGCTGAAGATATTAAAGAGTATTAATAAGATAGTAGTACTGACTACTTAATTTTAATCAAGTATATCAGTAGCTTATATGAAGAATATCTTGTATATAAAGTTCACTAATTCAGTTAAAAGTGCTTGTAAAAGCATAATCAACCAGAACACTCTTTTCACAACTCAGTCAATTCTTGTTCAAACTGGACAAAGCTACGTTTATTTGAAAGCTATTTCTCTGCCTAAGAGGCT